CAGGGGGTGTTTTCCTGCTTCCTGGGGCCGGCGCCCCCATTCCCTGCCTACCCCCAGCACCGCGCCCCGCGTCCCTCAGGGCCCCAGCTCCCCCTGCCCAGCCCCTCCGGACCCCTCAGCTCCCCCTGCCCAGCCCCTCCGGACCCCTCAGCTCCCCCTGCCCAGCCCCTCCGGACCCCTCAGCTGCCCCGCTCTTGCCTCCTCCCCGGTGCCGTCCTGGGCAGCCGGCAGGGCAGGAGCGGCAGCCCCGCTCCCCCCAGCCCTGTCCCCCTCCCCAGGGCCCAGCGGGGTGAACCAGCTCGGGGGGCTCTTCCTGAACGGCCGCCCCCTCCCCACGTGCAAGAGGCAGAGAATCATCGCGCTGGCGGCGAGCGGCGCCCGCAGCTCCGACATCTCCCGCAGCCTCAAGGTGCGCCCGGCCCGGGGCTGGGGGGGTCTCCTGCCCCTCCCAAATCCTCCCCGCGCTCAAGTTCTGTCCGCAGGTGTCCAACGGCTGCGTCAGCAAAATCCTGGGCCGCTACTACCGGACGGGGGCCGTGGGGCCCAAGGCGGTGGGGGGCAGCAAGCCCCGCATGGCCACCCCCGCCGTGGTGGCCAGGATCGCGCGGCTGAAGCTGGAGCAGCCCGGGCTCTTCGCCTGGGAGATCCGGCGGCAGCTGCACGCCGAGGGAATCTGTGCCGGCAGCGGCATCCTCAGCGTGAGTCCTGCCGAGAGCCCCGGGATTGCGGGAATTCCCGGGAACGGGCGGAGCAGGGGGTCCGGCCCCACGGCCGGGGGGCGGGAGGTGGGAATGGTGCACAGGGAAGGGCTCGGGACAGTGGGAATGGTGCACAGGGAAGGGCTCGGGGCAGTGGGAATAATGGACAAGGGAAGGCTCAGGACAGTGGGAATGGTGCACAGGGAAGGGCTCGGGACAGTGGGAATGATGGACAAGGAAGGGCTCGGGACAGTGGGAATGATGGACAAGGAAGGGCTCGGGACAGTGGGAATGATGGACAGGGAAGGCTCAGGACAGTGGGAATGATGGACAAGGAAGGGCTCGGGGCAGTGGGGTGGAAGCCCCGGGAAGGGCTCAGAGTGATGGGAAGGGTTCGGGCCCATGGGAAGGACTCGGGAACGGGAAGGATCCACAGGGAAGGGCTCGGTGCTTGGTGAGAAGCAGAGCTGCAGCGTGGGGAGGGGAAGGCCGATCGCTCCTGCCCAGCGGAAGCAGAGCCCCGACCGCCACCCCCGGGCCTGCCGCCTCCTCGGGCCGCGGGACACCGCGGTGGCTCCGTGACAAGTGTCCCTGCTGGGCAGGGCGAGCTGTGCTTCCCAAGGACAGACCCGCCCAGCCGATCCCCGCCGTGCTAATGGCCTCCCGTTAGATTCTGTCGGTCCCCGGGATTCCGGGGTCACAAACCGGGAGCAGACGGGCTCGGCCCCGGGCCGGAGAATCCCTGGCTCCGGAGAGCATCCCTGAGACAGCTCCACCTCCATTCCCGTCCCCCCGCAGCCCCGGGGGTCCCGGCACATCCCCTCTCCCCTGCCCAGGTCTCCTCCATCAACCGCGTGCTCAGGACCCTGCCCAGCGACCTCCGGCTGGCGGCCGAGCCCCGGGACCCGCGGCCACGGGGTGAGCCCTGCCCCAAAGCTCGGACCCCTCCTGACCCTTCCCGGCCCCTCCGGGGAGCCCCCGGCCCCGGGTCCGCCCCCAGCCTCTGCCCCTCTGTCCCCGCAGTGTCCCCGCAGCGCCCCGCGGCCCCGGGGAGCCCCGAGCCGCCGCCGGGCCCCGTGCATAGGAGCGGGGGCAGGAACCGCACCGTGTTCTCCAGGCAGCAGGCGGAGGCTCTGGAGGAAGGTGCGCTCCCCGAGCGGGACGGAGCGGGGGCTGTTCCGGGGGGGAAATGCCGCTCTCGGGAGGAACTCGTGCTCCTGTGGGCGGCCCGGCCATCGCTGCGGGGCCCCAAACCAGCCCAGAGCACCCCAAACCGCCCCAGAGCATCCCAAACCGCCCCAGAGCATCCCAAACCGCCCCAGAGCATCCCAAACCACCACAGAGCGCCCCCGAGCATCCCAAACCATCCCATATCCCACCAGACTACTCCAGAGCATCCCAGACCACCCCAGAGCATCCCAAACCATCCCATACCCCACCAGACTACCCCAGAGCACCCCAGAGCATCCCAAACCATCCCATATCCCACCAGACTACTCCAGAGCACCCCAGAGCATCCCAAACCATCCCATACCCCACCAGACTACCCCAGAGCACCCCAAAGCACCCCAGCCACGTCCTGGCATTTCCCGCCCGGGTGCCGGGGGTGGCTGCCCCGACCCGAGCCCGCTCAGCGCGATCCCCTTGCAGCGTTCCGGAGGGGACAGTACCCGGACACCGCCACCCGCCAGAGCCTGGCCGCGGCCACGCAGCTGCCCGACACCACCATCAGGGTAAGAGGGACCCGCCTCGCTCCGAACGGGACCGCGGCCACGTCCCGGTGGCCGGAGCAGCCCGGAGGGGCCGCCGGGACCGGGGCCGCCAGCTCCGGGGGACAGGGAGCCCCCCTGCCTTCGGGGACATCTCCGAACCGTGTCACCGCTGCTGGCGACAGGGCTGGGGACGGGCTCCGGATGGCGGGAGTGACTCCCCAGGGCTGCGTTTGTCCTGGCTCGAGGGTCTCCCCATGGCACACCTGGCACACTCCCTGGCACACTCCCTGGCACACTCCCTGGCACACTCCATGGCACACCTGGCACACTCCCTGGCACACCCCTGGCACGCCTGGCACACACCCCTCCCACGTTCCTCCCAGCAGCTCCAGCTCCACATCCCTGTGCCCCTGCCGAGCCTCCCTGGGTGCACGGCAGCCCCTTCCCGTCCAGCCCCAGCTCCCTGCCGGCCTCTGGGTGAGCAGGCAGTGCCAGCAGCGAGCCCCCCGTGCCAGGGCAGCGCTGCCCGTCCCCGCAGCACGGCAGAGCACACACGACAGCAGCCCCGAGGGTCCCTGCGCCGGGGACACGCCCGGAGCCCGCGGTGCGCTCCCGGCCCGTCCGGTGGGGAAGGCGCAGGATCAAAGCCTTCCTCTGCCCAGGACCGTGCCCATTCCCGGGATGGAACCCCTTGTCCCTGTCCATGTTTGGGATCAACACCCTTCTGATGCCCAGAACCAAACCCTTTGCTCAAACCCATGCGCATGCCTGGGATCAGGACACGGGCATTCCTTTGCCCACGCCCGTGCCCATGTCGGAGATCGAGCTCCTTTCCGTGCCCGTGTCCCTCCCGTGTCCCTGCTCACTCCCGGGCAGTGCCGAGCCCGTGTCCCGGGGCTCAGAGCTGTGCCGCGGGGCCCTGGGGCGGCCGGGGGCCGCAGCCTCAGCTCCCGCCCTCTCCCCAGGTCTGGTTCTCGAACCGCCGAGCCAAGTGGCGACGGGAGAGCAAGCGGCAGCTGGAGGCTGGCGGCGCAGGTGACATCCCGGGGACCGAGGGGACGGGACGTGGGACCCAGGGGCGCCCCTGGGTGGGACATTTGGCGCTGGGACCCCAGGGGCTGCTTCCCAGAGCCCCGCTGGGAGCTGGGGAAAGGACACGGCCGCTCCCCGTGCGCCCCGGGGAGCCGAGCCAGGGCATTGTCCGAGCCAGGGCATTGTCCCCGCCCGTGCCCACGCAGGCTCCTGGTGCGACTGGATCCCGCCCGCTGTCGGTGCCGCCGCCGCCGCAGCCGCCGCACGGGTAGGACACGGCCGCTCCCGGGGTGCTGGGGACACCCCAACAAGCTCGGGCACCCTCTGGAGCCCGTCGGGAGCCCCGTCTGGAGCGTCCCGGCCCGCTGCCGGCGCCCTCGGGGTGACCCGGTCCCGGAGCAGCCCTGTGACATTGGCGCTGTCTGCTCCGCACGCAGCCGCTCCCGGACCCCCCCGCGGGCTCGGCGCAGCCCCCGCACGGCCTCGCCCCCCACCCGCGCCCCCCGGCCCCGCTGCACCTCTGCGCCTCCGGGCCCTGCGCCTGGGACGACGCTTGCTGCGGTACGAGGGGCCGGTCTCGGCCGCCCCGGGCTTCTGGGGGTCCCCTGGGTGTCCCCTGCCAGGGCCCAGCGCGCCGGCGGCGATGCCTGAGCCCCGTGTCCATCCCGCAGGTCTGGCTCCCGGCGGCAGCCCCGCTCCAGCGCCCTGGCAGCCCCTGGAGAGCCCCCCCTTCGCCCTGCTGCCCCCCGGGCTCCCCCCGCTGCCGGCCTGGGGCCTGGAGCCCCGCTGAGCCCCCGCTGCCCCCCGAGCCCCCCACGGCCCGCGGTGTCCCGGCAGGATGGGGGGCTCCGACACCTCCAAGCCGCGAATTGAGGACATCCGTGCAGGGCGGGCTCCGGTGCCAGCCGGGCCAGCATGGCCGGGCCAGCCCGCGGCGGGTCCCAAACCACCTCCAGACGCGGGTGGATCGCGGAATTCAGGATCCTTGATTCGATCCGGGAGGGTCACCACGCTCCAGCGCCCCCCCAGAGCCAGGACAGCTCTTTGGAGCCGCGATCCCGCTGGAGCAGAGGGAATGTCCCGGGTCCGGGGATCCCAACTGGGACCGAGGGCACCGCGGGGGGGACCGGGGGTCCCGGCAGGAGCTGGTGACAGAGGGGACAGCCCTGGGTGGCCGCGGCAGCTCGGGGTGGCACCTCCCGCAGCTCCGCGTCCCTCAGGCTCGGGGCTGCTGCCGTTCCCGTTATTAAACCGCTTTTCCCACCCCGCCCCGAGTGCTCCGCGTCTCCTCCCGAACGGGGCCAGCCCCGCTCGTTCTCCCTCCCGGCTCCCGGCGCTGCCCGCGGGCTGAAAGGCGCAGAGACCGCGGTGCTGGGGAGAACGAACAGCGTTATTTCAACAAGAACGGGGCTGCGGCACGGGGGGCGGCAGGGGAGGGGCGGGGGGACGGAGCGGCCCCGGGGCTGCGGCCGCCTCGGGCCCCGCGGCGGCGACCGAGCCCGAACGGAGCGGGCCGGGGTCGCGTTCTGCAGCCAGAACCGCGTCCGCTCGGCTGCGCTCAGCCCAGCTGGTTCCTCAGGAACTGCAGGAAATCCCTCAGCAGGTTGCAGAACTGCACCAGGCTCTGGTACGGCACCGAGATCAGCAGGAGCCTGTCCGGACCCGGTTCCGGTGTTGGCGCCGGCTCCTCGGGCACCGGGGGAGTGGTTGGCTCTGGTGTCGGCTCTGGCACCAGCTCTGGCTCCGGCTCGGGCACCAACTCTAGCTCCTCCTCTGGCTCTCGTGTCGACTCTGGCACTAGTGATGGCTCTGGCACCGGCACTGTTGTCGGCACTATTGTCGGCACTGTCGTCGGCTCTGGCGTTGGTTCTGTCGTCGGCTCTGGCGTCGGCTCTGGCGTCGGCTCTGGTGTTGGCTCTGGCACTTGCACTGGTGCCGGGTCTGTTACCAGCTCTGGGGTTGGCTGTGGCACTGGCTCGGGCTCTGTTACCAGCTCTGGCTCTGGGGTTGGCTGTGGCACTGGCTCGGGCTCTGTTACCAGCTCTGGCTCTGGGGTTGGCTGTGGCACTGGCTCGGGCTCTGTTACCAGCTCTGGCACTGATGTTGGGTCTGTGACCAGCTCTGGCCCCGGCACCACCAGCTCTGGCGTCGGCTCTGGCACTGGTGTTGGCTCTGTTTGTGCCTCTTCTTCTGGCCCTGGCGTCGGGGTCTCCTCAGAAGCCATGGTGAGCTCTGGCTTAGGAGTCGGGGCGCAATTCGGCTCTGGTGCTGTACCACTTATGTCCGCAGGGCTCAGGCTTGTCTGGATCAGGATCCAGTTGTAGAAGTGCTGAGTGGAGGTGTAGATCCCGGGGTGCCTGGCTCTGTCACAGCCTCTTCCCCAGCTGTTCAGTCCCACCAGCCAGAAATAGTCAGCTCTGTTGTCCTTGCAGACGAGGGGACCGCCGCTGTCCCCCTGTGCCAGGAGAGAAGGTTCAGGGACTGTGGGGGGTTGCTGCCAGTCCCGGGGCTGGCTCCTCTATCCTAGTCCCAGGGCTGGCTCCTCTCTCCCAATCCCGGGGCTGGCTCCTCTATCCCAATCCCGGGACTGGCTCCTCTATCCCAATCCCGGGACTGGCTCCTCTCTCCTGATCCCGGGGCTGGCTCCTCTATCCCAATCCCGGGGCTGGCTCCTTTCTCCCAGTCCCTGCCAGGTCCGCATTCCCAGCGCATTCCCAGCACAGGTCGGGGACTCTCCCATCTCTGCACATGGGTCCCAGATGTGCAGAGGACAGGTGTTCCAGGGTCACATCTGCACTTTGGGTCTGCTGGGGCCACTGGATGGGCCTTGTGGGCAGGAACAGGCCTTGGGCACAAGGGGACATGGGACAGGGACCTGCAGGTGGGGAGGGGAGGGGTGGACAGGGGACAGGCTGGGCTGCGTGTGGGGGCTCCTACCTGGCAGGTGTCGATGCCGCCCTGTGGGTACCCAGCACACAGGTTGTCAGCATGAACGGCCCCCGCGTACCACCGGCTGCTGTTGCAGAGCTCCGTGTCCATGAGGTGGACCTTGGCCTCCTGCAGCACCATGCCTGTTCCCTGAGCTGTGGGCACAGAGGGGAATGAGCCCCAGCAGCTCAGTACCCATCCCCTCCCCTGCCTAGGGTGAACCCCCTTCCCGGGCCTGGCTCTGCCCCTTCCCCACAGAGCGACATTGTCCAGCTGTGTCCCTGCTGTTGGCCTGGGGAAGGGGCCAGACCCATCTCCCCCGAGGTTTCCCAGGGCCAGCAGGAATTGTTTGGGTGAGCAGGGACCTTACAGCTCATCCCGTTCCGCGCCCCGTCTTGGCGGGGACTCCTTCCCCCAGCCCAGGCTGCTCCGAGCCCGGCCCCGCCCGCGCTGCGCGGCCGGACCCTGTGTGTGCCCAGCCCGTGTCCCTGTCTGTGCCCAGCCCCTGTCCCTGTGTGTGCCCAGCCCCTGTCCCTGTCTGTGCCCAGCCCCTGTCCCTGTGTGTGCCCAGCCCCTGTCCCCTGGGTGCCCAGCCCTTGTCCCCATGGTGCCCAGCCCCTGTCCCTGTGTGTGCCCAGCCCCTGTCCCTGTCTGTGCCCAGCCCGTGACCCTGTGTGTACCCAGCCCCTGTCCCTGTCTGTGCCCAGCCCCTGTCCCTGTGTGTGCCCAGCCCGTGTCCCCTGGGTGCTCAGCCCCTGTCCCTGTGTGTGCCCAGCCCATGTCCCCTGGGTGCCCAGCCCTTGTCCCCACGGTGCCCAGCCCTTGTCCCCAGGGTGTCCAGCTTGCCCTCAGAGCACACATCCTGTTGGGAACTCACCTCTGGCAAAGTTCCAGCCGGCGATGTAGCAGGATTTCAGCTCCGAGACCCTGAGCGAGGCGTCGGGCACACAGCCCAGCTGGATGTAGTCGCTGCACTCCACAGGCTGGTCCAGCTCCACCAGGGCGATGTCGTTCCTGGCCGTGGCTGGCACATAGCGCTGGTGCATCAGCAGCCTCTGGATGCGTCTCACCACAGCCTCAGGGCCTGGCTGTCTCAGATCTGTGGCCCCGATCACCACATCCCACATGGAGATGCCCCTGGGGAGCAGATGGACAGAGGGGTGACAGGGAGCAGAGCCACGGGCTGCAGCAGGCCCAGCATTTCCCGGCCTTCTGCTTCCCCAGGTGGGCAGGGAAGTGGCCCGTGGTGCTGTGAGCTGGGCGCCTGCCTGTGCTCTGGGGACATCTCTGTCCCTGCTGTCTCTTACCCGGCCCTGGCGAAGCAGTGTGCGACCGTGAGCACCCACTGGGAGCTGAGGAGGACACCCGTGCACATGTGCCACGTGCCGTTCTCCCAGGTGGCCTGGATGCTGACAATGCCAGGCCAGGCCCCTGGCTGGACACTGGTGCCACCCACACCGGACGTGCCAGCAGAGCTGTGGTCGGAATCCAAGGGCCGGAGCCCGCAGGTGCCTCTGGAAGCACAAAGCCATCACTGCCCTGCTCGGGGACAGCAGGGACAGGGACCCCCAGGGGCTCCTCTGTGCCCAGGCTGTGCCAGGGAAGCCCCGAGTGTCCCCAAGTCCCCCAGGGCCACTGACCTGCAGGTGTCCCAGGTGCCCCCCACGGGCCCGGCCAGGGCCAGCAGGATCAGCAGCCACAGCAAAGCCATCGCAGGTGCCAGCACTGCAGGTGGCAGAGCCAGAGCTGAGCTGTCACCTCTGGTGACACCCAGGGCCCTGGCGGTGCCCACGGTGCCACCAGGTCGGGGTGATGTCACAGAGGGGCCGGTTCCATGTGCAGGGCACGGTGGGGAGGGGCAGCTCGGGGTCACAGAGATGTGGAATGGTCTGGGGGCAGCGCCCTGGGGCACCAACACAGGGTGAGACTGGTCCGACCCTGCTGGCACCAGGCTGGGCATGAGCAGCTGGAGCAGCCCTGAGAGAGGATTTGGGGGTGCTGGGGGTGAGAGCTGGACCTGACCCAGACCAGAGCCCCCCAGCCCTGGGGAGCAGGGGAGGGGGGGATCCTGCCCCTGTGCCCCCTCAGGTGAGACCCACCTGCAGAGCTGCCCCAGCCCTGGGGACACAGCAGCAGCACCTGGAGCTGCTGGAGAGAGCCCAGAGGAGGCCCCGGAGCTGCTGCAGGGCTGGAGCCCCTCAGATCCCAGGGATCCAGGCTGGGAGAGCTGGGGGTGCTCCCCTGGACAGGAGAAGGATCCAGGGAGAGCTCAGAGCCCCTGGCAGGGCCTGAAGGGGCTCCAGGAGAGCTGCAGAGGGACTGGGGCCAAGGCCTGCAGGGACAGCACCCAGGGAATGGCTCCCAGTGCCAGAGGGCAGCCAGGGATGGGATCTTGGCAATGAGGAATTCCTGGCTGGGCTGGAATTGCCAGAGCAGCTGGGGCTGCCCCTGCATCCCTGGCAGTGCCCCAGGCCAGGCTGGACACTGGGGCTGGAGCACCTGGGACAGTGGGAGGTGGCCCTGCCCAAGGAAGAACTCAATACCCAGTAGAAGACAGAATGCTAATTAATGAAAGAGATTTTTATGTAATTTAGAACCAGTGAACATTTGTTTCTTTGTCGGCTCAGAATGTACACATGGGTGACAAAGTTTTGTGGTGTCAGTGGAGGCCGGAGCTTTGCTGGCCGCAGCCCCTGGCCAAGGACAGGGCAGGGCCGGACTCAGGGACGCTGAACCAGCACGGTTCGAGTTTTATTCATCCCGGCGGCTCCGGCTCCGGGGCATTCGGACCACGCCATGAGCAGCCCCGGGGCCCTCCCGCAGGGGACAGCGGGGACAGGGCCCGGCTGAGGTGGCACTCGGACACACCGAGGTCGCTCCAGCTCCTCCCCGTCGTTATCCGGAGGGTTCGGAGCACCGGGATGCTCCTCCAGGCCCTCCCCAGCGGGGACACCCCCTTGGAGAGGGGTGCAGGGGCTGGGGGGACAGCGACCAACGTGGGGACAGCATGGGACGGGGCGCGACGCTGCTCGTCCCACTCAGCTTGCGCGGCGGTGACACTGCTCGGTGACACCTCCCTGCCCCGCCCGCCACGACCCCACTGCAGGCTGGCACTGAGACCCCCTCGGGGCGACACGGGGGACACGGAGGGGACACGAGGGACACGGAGGACAAGGAGGGGACACGGTGGACTTGGGGGAACACGGGGAGTACATGGGGGGAGACGAGGACACATGAGGCCCAGAATGGGACACGGGAAGAACACAAGGGGACACGGGGAGACACGGGGCACTCCAGGGGACACACGGAGGGACAGGGGACCACCCTGCTGTCACTGCCCCATCCTCAGACCACGCCCACAGAGATGACCACGCCCCTTGATGGACACCACAGTTCCTTTGCGCTCAGGCCACGCCCCTCGCCATAAGACCACGCCCCCAACGCATCGGGGCCGCGCCCACACCACGCTCCGTGTCGCGCGCAGAGGCCACGCCCCTTTATGGCGGAAGTCACGCCCACATCCGAGTGCACGCGCGCACGGCCCCGCCCCGTGGGGTAGCCACGCCCACAAATCGCTTTATTTGGGGTGTGGCTCCGCCCCGCCTGTAACCGCTCCCTTTGCCCCGGCGGCTTCCGGCGGAAGTGGCGGCGAGGCGGAACCGGCCGGAGGTGAGGGGGGACCGGGGGGTCTGGGGGGTGAGGGTGGCGGGGCCGGCGGGGCCGGGGATTGCGGGGCGGCCGGAGGGGTCAGGGTGGGAGTCGGGATGGTCCCGAGGGGCTGACGGTGCTGGGCCCGGGTGGTGTCCGGGGGGGGTCAGGGTGGCCCTGGGGGTCAGGGTGGTCCTGAGGCGTCAGGGTGGTCCTGAGGCGTCAGGGTGGTCCTGAGGAGGCGACAGTGGAGGGCCCAGAGAGGTCCGGGAGGTGTCTGGGCGGTTAGAGGGGTGTCCGAGGGGTCAGTATGGGGGTCCCGGGAGGGGAGTTCAGAGGTGTCCTTGGGGGTCAGGGTCCTTTCCTGGCGGGGTCAGGATGGGGGGCTCGAGGGGGTCAGGATGGGAGCTCTGGGCAGGTCAGGATGTGGTTCCTGGGTGGTTCAGGATGGTGGTCCTGGGCAGGGCATGGTCAGGGTGGTGTTTGTGATCTTTGCTGCCCGTTTGGTGCGCCCAGGAGGATGCTCCTGCCCATCCCAAAGCTGCCCTTTCTCCTTGCCCTGCTCCCCCCCAGGTTCCCCCGCCATGGAGAAGTTCGGGATGAACTTCGGGGGCGGCCCCAGCAGGAAGGAGCTGCTGGAGACCATCGAGACGCAGAAGCAGCAGCTCCTGCGCTTCCAGGCGCGCCTCAAGGACGTCGTCCACGCCTACAAGAGCCTGCTGAAGGAGAAGGAGGCGCTGGAAGCCAGCCTGAAAGCGCTCTCCGTGTCCCAAGATGGGGAGCTGGCCGTGCCCCCGCCCGCAGCCGGGGACTCCCCGGATGACCGGAGCTCGGAGCACAGCGAGGACAGCGCGGGGACGGCCGCCAGCGCGGACACCGCGGCCAGCCCGCCCAGGGGGGACGAGGATGACAAACCCGCGGCCGCCCCCGCCCCGAGAGCCGAGGAGCCGAGCGGCGCCGAGGGCGGGGAGCTGTGTTCCGGCGAGCCCGAGCGGCGGCTGCAGCAGCTGAAGGCGCAGCTGGCCACGCTGACGGGCGCGCTGGCCACGGTGACGCAGGAGAAGTCGCGCATGGAGGCCTCGTACCAGGCGGAGCGGCGGCAGATGAAGCAGGAGCTGGAGGAGGCGGCGGGGCGGGCGCGGGCCGAGGCGGAGCGGCTGCAGGAGCTGCAGGAGCAGCTGGCCCAGACCCGCGGCCGCCTCCTGGAGCAGCAGCGCGAGCGGGAGCGCGAGCAGGGCGACCACGGGCTGATGCTGCGCGAGCTGCAGGAGCTGCTGCGCGCCGAGCGCGACGCGCGCTGCGCCGCCGAGCGGGAGCTGCAGCAGGCCCGGGAGGCGCTGGCTGGCACTGCCAGCACCGCGGAGCGAGCCCAGGGCCACGAGCAGCAGGCGCGGCAGCTGAGCCAGGAGCTGGAGGAGCTGCGCAGGGAGCTGCAGGGCGTGCGAGAGGAGAACAGCAGGGCCGACCCACGGATCCAGGAGCTGCAGGAGGAGATGGCCGGCCTCAAGAACCACTTCCAGCTGCAGCTGGTGCAGGAGATGAAGAAGGTGATTGCTGGCTGGGAATGAGGCTGGCGTCCAGGGTTTCGGGCGGAGTTTGGGGCCAGAGCAGCCAAATTCCCTCTCCCAGTCTCTCAGAGTCCAAAGAATCCTGGCTTGGATTGATGGGATGACAAACTGGGGAACAGTTTTCTGTGGGATGTATCCAGAGAGTGGGGCTGGAGTCAGACAAATTCCTTTTCCCAGTCCCTCAGATTCCAGGAGGTTTGAAATAAATGGCACAGGGTACCCAGAGCAGCTGGGACTGCCCCTGCATCTCTGGCAGTGCCCCAGGCCAGGCTGGACACTGGGGCTGGGAGCAGCCTGGGACACTGGGAGGTGTCCCTGCCATGACAGGGGTGGCACTGCAGGGGCTCTGAGGTCCCTTCCTGCCTAACCCATTCCAGGATTCCAAACACACAAATCCCTAAAAAGCCAGAACAGGGAGGTGTCTCAGGCAGGGCTGCCAGGGTGGGGAGGGCCCCTTGTTGGTTTGGAGCAGGGCAGGGTCCCTGTGTGGCCCCAGGTGTGTCCCTGTGTGGCCCCAGGTGTGTCCCTGTGTGGCCCCAGGTGTGTCCCTGTGTGACCACAGGTGTGTCCCTGTGTGACCCCAGGTGTGTCCCCATGTGTCCCCGTGCTGCCCTAACCCCACTGTGTCCCTACACAGACAGCCCAGGCTGAGGAGCAGCTCCGGCAGCGCTCGCAGCGGGAGGAGCAGCGCGTGGCCGAGCTGGAGGCCCAGGTGTCCCAGGTGTCTGAGCTGCTGGGCACCTACGAGAAGGCCAAGCAGAGGGACCAGGGCACCATCCAGAGGCTCAAGGACCGCATCGTGCAGCTGGACCTGGAGAACAAGACCTTGGCCATCGCCGCCTCCAGCCGCTCCCTGGGCGAGGTGGCCGTGGAGGAGGCCACCCTGGACGTGAGCGTGCTCAAGGAGAAGATGGAGAAGCTGAGGAAGCTCCTGCAGGCAGCGGCTGGGAAGGGCCTGGAGGCAGAGGAGCCGCAGGAGCCGGAGCTGGCCCCGGGCGGCGGGGACGGGAATGGGGACAAGGCCCTGGGCGGGCATTGCCAGCAGGAGCTGAGGCAGCTCAAGGAGGAGTTTGAGCGCTACAAGGTGAGGGCGCAGCAGGTGCTCAAGAGCAAGGCCAGCAAGGACGTGGGCCTGGCCAAGGAGCTGGAGGAGGCGCGGGAGCAGCTGGCGGAGCTCCAGGACAAGAACGTGCTGCTGCAGCTGGCTGCGGACGACATGGAGAAGCGGCACCGGCAGGAGCTGGAGGCCAGGAAGCAGGAGCTGTCCCAGCTGCAGCAGCTGCACCGGCAGGAGCTGGAGCGGTGCCAGCTGCAGTTCCGGGAGCGGGCGCTGCGCCTGGAGGAGGAGATGCACAAGCAGCGGGACCGGGCGCTGGCCGTGCTGGCCGAGAAGGACCGGGAGCTGGAGCAGCTCCGCACCCTCACGCTGCCCCACGGCCCCAAGGGCTGCCGGGATGGCGGCCCCGGCCCGGGGGACGCTCCCAGCCAGGATTCCTCGGAGATCCTGCCCCAGGAGCTGCAGCTGTGCTCCGGCTCCGAGCCCACCTTCTTCCTGTACGCGGAGCAGCTGGCGCGCAAGGAGGTGGAGATCGCGGCGCTGCGCAAGCACCGGCACCGGCTGGAGGTGCAGCTGCACCAGCTGCAGGGCAGGGCCCTGGCCGAGGAGGACCGGCACCGCGAGGAGGTGGCGGCGCTGCGGGACGAGATCCAGAAGAACTGCCGGGATAAGAGCAGGGAAGGAGCCAACCTGGAGTACCTGAAGAACGTGGTGTACCGGTTCCTGACGCTGCCGGACGCGCGGGGCCGGCAGCAGACGCTCACGGCCATCCTGGCCATCCTGCACTTCAGCCCCGAGGAGAAGCTGAGCATCGCCAAGAGCTCAGCCCATGGCTCCTGGTGGCCCCACGGGAAGAGATGAGGGCTGGGTTTTATTCCCTTTTCTGTAAGAGCTCCTTCCCGAGGACTGACCGAAACCTCGTCCCACACACGCCCGCATCTCTCCGGGATTTGGGCTCCAGTTGGGGTTTTTAGCACTAACTTGCCAGGATTTGGGCTCCAGTTGGAGTTTTTAGCACTAACTTGCAGTGAGGTTGTGCCAACTTTTCCAGCCCCAAAGCCTCTGTGGTGGGAATTTGCTTCGAGTTGAGACTTGATTTGGAAACCATGAAATTGAAGATGCTGAGGTTTTTTAAAGGTGGTTTAAAAGCAATCCCTACCTGTCAGACGTGGCACCGAGTGGAATTCACTTGGATCTTCAAGCTCCAGTCAGGCTGGTGACTCAGGAGATGAAAGGGAAGGTGGGAAGCACTTTAGGTGGAGCTAAAATAGCACCAGGCCATGGAAAGCTCAGGAAGATGGGGCTCAGTGCAGGCAATCTTGGGCATTTCCCCTTAAGGCTCTTTTCCAGAGCCTAATTTAACCTGTGGATGCAGCTCCAGGCTCATCCAGGGGCTCAGGCTCTCCTTCCTTCCCAGGGATCCTCTCTGGGCAATCAGGGATTCTAGGAAGGAGAAAGGATCTCCCTGTGGATGACTCCCATCCTGAGGGTGTTGTTTTCCTGCCCCACGTTTGGAATTAAATCCTGGCTGCTAAAGCTAGGCCCAGAGACAGGGATAGGTCTGGATTAAGACCCCCGGGGGTCCTGGAGCCCTGTCAAGAGCAGGTTTGGGAGCAGCTCCTGGTGCTGCACTGCCCAGAGAGCCTTGGGAAGGATCAGCCACTCCTGGCACTGCCAGGGACATGGACAGGGGCATGGAACTTCCCTCCTTTCCTTCTTGGCTGTCCTGGCCCTGTCAGCAGCCAAACTCCCTGGATTCCACTCTGGCCAGTGCAGCCCTTGGTGCCAATTTCTCCTCAAAAAAATCCTCAGGGAAACGTGTCCTGGGCAGAGCCTGTCCCTGCTGGGAGGGGGCCACAGCTGGGGGATGTTCCCTCCATCCAGGGATGTTCCCACTGGGAACAGTGGGATCCAGGTGCTGCCCTGATGGGAGAGTTTGTCCCAGGAATATTTTAAACGCTCCTCAAGGATGAAAGGGGTGGTTCAGACAGGGGAGAGCCCAGCCCCTGCTCCCAGTCTGGAAGTGTTGAATCAAGAAGTGCCTCTGGAATGGCAGGGATGGCTCCAACTCTTTGCCTGGAGCCATTCCCAGGACTCCAGAGGGAGGTGGAGCCTCCTCCTGCTGTGGCTTCACTGCTCAGGCTGGGGGATGGATCCCTGTTCTCCCTCTGCTCCTGCAGGATGGAGTGACCTGGAATGGACCCCAGGGCTGGTGGGGACCCAGCAGGGCAGAGGAATGGGGTGGGACCCAGCTGGGAGCACAGCTTGGAGCAGGGAATCAGTGTGGGATCCAGCAGGGAATGAATGTGGGATCCAGTTGGGAGAGAGGGAATGAGTGTGGGATCCAGCTGGGAGAGCAGGGAATGAGTGTGGGATCCAGCTGGGAGAGCAGGGAATGAGTGTGGGATACAGCAGGGAGAGAGGGAATGAGTGTGGGATCCAGCAGGGAATGAGTGTGGGATCCAGCTGTGAGAGCAGGGAATGAGTGTGGGATCCAGCTGTGAGAGCAGGGAATGTGTGTGGGATCCAGCAGGGAGAGAGGGAATGAGTGTGGGATCCAGCAGGGAGAGAGGGAATGAGTGTGGGATCCAGCAGGGAATGAGTGTGGGATACAGCAGGGAGAGCAGGGAATGAGTGTGGGATCCAGCAGGGAGAGAGGGAATGAGTGTGGGATCCAGCAGGGAGAGAGGGAATGAGTGTGGGATCCAGCTGTGAGAGCAGGGAATGAGTGTGGGATCCAGCAGGGAGAGAGGGAATGAGTGTGGGATCCAGCAGGGAGAGAGGGAATGAGTGTGGGATCCAGCTGTGAGAGCAGGGAATGAGTGTGGGATCCAGCAGGGAGAGAGGGAATGAGTGTGGGATCCAGCAGGGAATGAGTGTGGGATCCAGCTGGGAGAGCAGGGACAGGCAGGATCCATCTGGGAGGATGCAGATCCATCCCCGTGCCCTCTGTCTGTCCCTGGCAGAGGAAGATGAGGAAGCTGCTGCAGGGGAGCATCTCCAGGAGTGCCCAGCTCTGTGTCACTGTCACCCTCCTGCAGCTCCTGTGCCATTCCTTCCTCTGCTCCCCTCCAGCCCCTCTCCCTCCTGCTCCCTCCTTCCCTCAGATCCTCCCTCCCTCCCTCTTCTCTCTCTCCCTTCAGCCAATATCCCTGAAATAAAGGTAAAATTCCTCTTTGAGGGGACTCTGGTGGCTCCTGGGGACGGGATGGGCATTGCTTGGGGACTTTTGGTGGATGTTGGAACAACCTTGGGTTAAAATTATCACAAAATTGTTAAATCCCGTGATTTCCTGAGGTTCCTGGGAATGGTTCATTCCTGCACCTGCAGTTGGGGTGTGGCAGCTGAGGGGATGCAGAGGAGTCTGGCACTGAGAATCCTGGAATGGTTTGGGTGGGAAGGGACCCCAGAGCCCCTGCAGTGCCACCCCTACCATGGCAGGGACACCTCCCAGTGTCCCAGGCTGCTCCAGCCCCAGTGTCCAGCCTGGCCTGGGGCACTGCCAGGGATGCAGGGGCAGCCCCAGCTGCTCTGGCAATCCCAGCCCAGCCAGGAATTCCTCATTGCCAAGATCCCATCCCTGGCTGCCCTCTGGCACTGGGAGCCATTCCCTGGGTGCTGTCCCTGCAGGCCTTGGCCCCAGTCCCTCTGCAGCTCTCCTGGAGCCCCTTCAGGCCCTGCCAGGGGCTCTGAGCTCTCCCTGGATCCTTCTCCTCTCCAGGGGAACATTCCCAGCTCTCCCAGCCTGGATCCCTGGGAACTGAGGGGCTCCAGCCCTGCAGCAGCTCCGGGGTCTCTCTGGGCTCTCTCCAGCAGCACAAGGAGCTCCCGGCTGTTCTCCCGGTGCTGCTCCCTCGTTCCCGGTGTGCCCGGGGGCATCTGAGCGCTCATTTGGGCTCTCCCGTGCCTGGGGCTGATCCCTCCCCGCTCCCGGGGCTGGCACGGCGCCGCTGCTCCTCTGGGAAGCTTCTGCCTCCCCGGCCGGGCAGGTTCCTCCGGCTGCACCGCGGCCGTGTCCCACAGCTGGGCGTGGAGCGAGCCCGGGCAGCAGCGGGAGCCGCTTCCAGCTCCCATCCCATCCATCCCGGGCTGCGGCCATGGCCAGAGCGCAGGAACAGCCCCCGGCTCTCTCGGATATCCAGGTAAAGGCGTGCGGGGCGCTCCGGGAGAGGCTCAGCTGAGCGCTGCGTTCCCATTCCAACAAACCCTGCCCGAGGGAGCGCCCCCCGCACGGGACTTGGGCCGGCGCTTTGGGGACCGCCAGCGAGGCAGGGCGACAGCCGGGCAGGGCGACAGCCGGGCAGGGCTTTCGCTGGGGCCGCAGGGCTCTTTCCCGGCTCCTGCCCCGCTCTCCCGGCGCTCTCCCGGGCCCGGGGTCCGCCCGGCTCCGCGGCCGCTCCGGTTCCAGAGGCGCCGTCGGGAGCCGCCCCCAGCGCGGCCGCGGGCGGGACGCGGCTTCTCGGCGCTCCCCAGCCGCAGGTGAGGGAAGCTTGGGAGGGGATCCCAGCGGGAAAACTCGGGAGGAAGAAGCAGGGAAACCCCGCCACGTGCAGCCGCCGCCGAGGGGCTGCTGTGGAACCGGCCCTGCCCCTCCGCTGCCCCCGAAACGCCTTTGCTGCGGTTCCTGGGAACGGCTTCGGCCAGGGATGGCCGAGGGACGGAGTCCGGCCGTGCCCAGGGTCCCGCATCGCACCCACCGTGGTGGCTCGGGGTGGCCCCGCTCCCGGCCGGCCGAGCCCGCGCTCCCTCCGTGCCTCCCGCAGGTCCTGGTGCTGACGGGCATCACCCTCTCGGCCGCGCTGCTCAGGTGGGTCCTGTCCCTGTCCCTGTCCCTCGCCCTGGGCTGGCACCTGCCGGTGGCAGCGGCTCGGCCGGGACATTCATCACCTGCCCCGTCCCCTGCAGCCTCCTGGGCAGCGGATCCGTCCTCGCTGTCACCTCCTGGCAGGGGCGCTGCTGCCACATCCAGGTGAGTGCCACCAGCTTGTGGCAGTGTCACTGCTCCACATCCAGGTGGGTGTCACCAGCTTGTGGCAGTGTCACTACGCCACATCCAGGTGGGTGTCACCAGCTTGTGGCAGTGTCACTGCTCCACATCCAGGTGAGTGCCACCAGCTTGTGGCAGTGTCACTGCTGCCACATCCAGGTGAGTGCCACCAGCTTGTGGCGGCGTCAATGCTGCCATATCCAGGTGAGTGTCACCAGCTTGTGGCAGTGTCACTGCTGCCACATCCAGGTGAGTGCCACCAGCTTGTGGCAGTGTCACTGCTGCCACATCCAGGTGAGTGTCACCAGCTTGTGGCAGTGTCACTGCTGCCATATCCAGGTGAGTGCCACCAGCTTGTGGCAGTGTCACTGCTGCCATATCCAGGTGGGTGCCACCAGCTTGTGGCGGCGTCAATGCTGCCATATCCAGGTGAGTGTCACCAGCTTGTGGCAGTGTCACTGCTGCCATATCCAGGTGAGTGCCACCAGCTTGTGGCAGTGTCAATGCTGCCATATCCAGGTGGGTGCCACCAGCTTGTGGCGGCGTCAATGCTGCCATATCCAGGTGAGTGTCACCAGCTTGTGGCAGTGTCACTGCTGCCATATCCAGGTGAGTGCCACCGGCTCCCAGGGGCACAGGGCTGGGTCTGGGAAGGTCCGCGGGAGCTCCCGGGGAACGCGGCCGCTGCCGGCAGAGCTAACGCGGTGCCCTGTCCCCAGCTGCGCCCCCTGTTCCTCCTGGCCCTGGCAGATTTCCTGGGTGCCACCGCGCTGCTGGGCACAGGAACCATCCCGCTGCTGCCGGCCCCGCTCTCCGTGCCCGCCTACGCCGCCTGTCCCTACGGGCGGATGCTGACCACGGTAAGGGGACGCTGCTGGGGACAGCTGAGGCTGCGGTGCCCTGGGGACACTGTCTGGCGTCCCCTCCTCGGGGTGGGCACCGGGACAGGTCTGCCGGGGCCGGGGTGTGGAGCCCGAGGAGGGAAAGGACAGGGGCAATGGGGGCGTCGGGGGGCAGAGGGAGGGTGGAAGGTGCCCTGGCAGTGCTGGACACAGCAGGATCCGCGGTCCTTTTCCCTCTCCTCTCTCTCCCAGACCTCCTACGCCGTCTCGTTCCTCATGGTCCTTGTTTACGCGTACGAGTCGCACCGCACCGTCCTCGGGGGGCGAGCCCGGCCCCCGGCAGCGCTGCAGGTCCGTGCCTGGCCCGGGCGCAGCCGGGAATCGCCCTGGCCACACACGGCGCTGTGCCAGGGCAAGGGAGCGGCGGGGCGGTCCAGGGCAGTCCTTTCCCCGGGAGTTCGGGGTTCCCCCGGTCCTGGCGGGGCGGACCCTCGGCTGCGGCCGCCCCTCAGCCCCGGCTCACGGCGGTTCCCCCGCAGGAGCGGAGCCGCTGCCTGGAGAGCGCCTGGCGGGGAATTCCCTACGCGCTGGCCTGGTAGGTGCCCGCTGCCAGCCCCGCCGGAGCGCCCCGGCCGTGCCGGGCTGGCCCGGGGCCCGCTCTCACCCGGGCCGTGGCCCTTGCCCAGGCTGGTGCCCGCGCTCACGCTCCTGGCGCAGCTGCTCGCCCGCGGCGCCTCCGCCGCCGACATCGCGCCCGTGGTGCCCTGGGCCGGCTCCAACGACACCTTCAGCCTTTACTGCTCCAGGTACGGCCCCTCCGCCTCCGCCCTGCCCGGGCAGCCCCCGCGACGCCGGGCGAGGCTTTGGGAGCTCCAGCACCGCTCTGTCCCTGCAGCTGCCTCCTCCTGATCCACCCCAACCGGGACATCTGCTCCCAGGTGGGCGCTGCCCCTCCCTCGCTGCCCCCCACCCACTCACCCTCCCTGCGGGGCCGGGGGGCTCCGGGGCCCGACCCCGCTCATTCCCGTTGCCTCCCAGTCCGCCGGGGCCAAGAACGCGGGGCTGGAGGAGAAAATCATCTTCCTGCTGTACCTGCTGCTGGTGCTCGGCTGCTGCTCGGTGAGGCCCCGGCCCTGGGGGAGGCACGGGGGGTCCCCAGGCCCCGCTGACTCCCGCCCTTCCGCAGCTCCTGTACCGGCGGGTGCGGCTCCGCTGCCGGGGGAACGCGGCGCTGCCGCTGCTCAGCCTGGACCGGGACGGCGGCTTCGGGGGCAGGAGCGGCCGCAGCGTCAGCAAAGCCTTGCTGTACTTCCAGCTGGTTTTCCTGCTCTGCTGGACGCCAGGCAAGGCCGGGGGGTGTCCCACAGCCCTGAGCCCTGCCGGGTCACACTGGGGGTGTCCCCAGCTCCCCCAGCCCTGCAGGGTCACAGTGGGGGTGTCCCACAGCCCTGAGCCCTGCCAGGTCACACTGGGGGTGTCCCCAGCCCTGCCGGGTCACACTGGGGGTGTCCCCAGCTCCCCCAGCCCTGCCGAGTCACACTGGGGGTGTCCCACCAAGGAATGTCCTTCTGTGTCCCACCTGCAGCCTTCCTCCTCACCATCCTCTCCTTCACCAGCATCAGCCCTGCCTCACTCTTTGTGCTCTACATGTCCACAGTGAGTAAAGCTCCTTTTCCATGGCTCCCAGGTTGGACATTTGTCCCCATCCCACGTGGGAGCTGTGACAGCCCTTGGGGACACCCCGGGCAGGGGGAGGACACGGCCCTGGGCCCAGCGTGACTCTTCCCACTGGATTTTGGGTTGGGATTTCCCCCTTTGGCTTTTCCTGGGGGCTGGACGTGCTGTAATTGGCCACACCAAGAGGAAGCCCCTCCGTGTCCTGTGCCACCCTGCCTGGGCTGTGCCTGCAGGGACCAGGAGCCCTGACCCTCGTCCCTGTGTCCCCAGGCCCTGAGTGTCTCCCTGCAGGGCTTCCTGCACAGCCTGGTCTATGGCTGGATGAGGGAGAACTTCCGACGGGAGGTGCTGGCCCGGAGCCTCTCCCTGCAGAGCCCCGGGGGGCTCAAGGCTTTCTACGATGACTCCCTGGGGGCTGCTCCCTGAGCTCATCCCATTCCCTGGGGGCTGCTCCCTGAGCTCATCCCATTCCCTGGGGGTGCTCCCTGAGCTCATCCCATTCCCTGGGGGTGCTCCCTGAGCTCATCCCATTCCCTGGGGGCTGCTCCCTGAGCTCATCCCACTCCCTGGGGGTGCTCCCCGAGCTCATCCCATTCCCTGGGGGCTGCTCCCTGAGCTCATCCCACTCCCTGGGGGCTGCTCCCTGAGCTCATCCCACTCCTGGGGGCTGCTCCCTGAGCTCATCCCATTCCCTGGGGGCTGCTCCCTGAGCTCATCCCATTCCCTGGGGGCTGCTCCCTG